TATTGCCTCAACAGGATTCCTAGTATCTACAGGAATCGGAAAGTCCCGATGCAGTGCTTTTGGGCAGAGGGACCTTGGGAGGTCCGCTGGGCTGGGAGCCCTCAGCCTCGTCCCTGACTTGGCATCACCGCCACCGGGATTCGATCATTGAATGTGTATTGATGTGTATCAACACCCAAATCGTATTTAAAAAGGCGGTCATTTCATCATTGGATTCTCCACCTTTTTTTTTACGACCTTGAGCCTCGACGACACGACCATGTATGTCCCTTTTATAACCTCGTTATCAACTTCAAACTCTTCGACGAAACGACAACGATTCAGAAGAAAAGGTGGTGGAGGTGGAGGCGGCGGTGGAGGCGGTAGAGGTGGAGGGGGAGGCGGCGGTGGCCGTAGTGGAGGTGGAGGGGGAGGCGGCGGTGGCCGTAGTGGAGGTGGAGGGGGAGGTAGCAGCGGTGGTGGAAGAAGCGGAGGCTCTGGCGGAAGCTCTGGAGGGAGCTCCAGCGGCAGTCGTGGTAGTATCTCCACCGGTTCTGGACCGTCGAGATCCATATCCTCAGGATCCTCTGGAGGAGGACCCGTCTCTACTATCTCTTCAGGAGCCTTTGCCGGACGTTCCATGGGAGGAGGAAACAGGGGTCAAGTTTATGGAACCAGGTACTTGATTGTTGCTAGTCCTATCCAAGCCGTTCCACTGATATGTCTATCCCTTCTTCACTCAGGCAATACGGAAGTGGTTATCCTGGTGTAACCGGAGCAGGTGTTGCAGGTCGCGGTTTCCCGTTCTACTTCTGGCCTGTTACATGGGGTGGCGCAGCAGGCGTTGGAACGGCCGCATACTACCATAACCATCGCGATGAGGTTAGTCGTTCAGTCAAAGTAATGTAGTCTTGTCTCTCATCGATCTTCTTCACTACAGTACGGCCGACCAGACAACTCCAGTCGACCTGGTGGTGCTATGACCTACGCCACGTTCGTCGTCGACAACTCTACGACCTACCACGTCGTCGCAGACAACAACACAGTCGCCTCACTCGTCACCACCATCAACGAAAAATGCTCCTCCTTTCTCACAACCGGGAACAACACCCTCACAACCACTACACAACCCAGCATGATATTGCCATACAATGCTACCGCCTCCAATGCAACGAAACCCGAGAGCGTTATCCAGTACTACCGTGCTAGTAGTGTCGCGCTCGCCCTCGAGGGTTACAACAACTCGGCTGTTTATTCGAACAATACGAATGCGCCGGATACACCTCTTCCGACGACTTTGAACACCACTGCGCTCGATTGTTTGAACCGGACAATTGGGGAGTCTGTTCCCCTTGTTGATGCTTCGACTTCATCGTCAACGAGCCCAGGAAGATCTGGTAACGGGGGAACTATCACTAGAGGGAATTTCAACCCCGGTACTTGGGTGGTTTCTCCTGGTCTTCCGGGAGTGGTTGCGTTGCTGGCGGTATTTGTGCATCTCGCGTCGTCATGAGCCGTCTTGACGATTGGAATTATTGTAGCTATTAGTTGTACAGTCATCTACCATCCCATGGGAAAACTTGTTTCAAATATATGAATAGGCTGGGTCATTTGGCACGAATCTCAAGCCTAGAACCGTTGTACAAGACAAGGCGAGCTAGCTTGATGTATTCAGGCTCGCTCTGGCGGAGACGATCATACTGACTCCGGGGTTCGATTGTGTGGTCAGGCTCGATTCTGTCCTTTTGTATTCTTGGAGTTCTTCAGGTGATCGTAGTCATCATTCACAGCGATACTGCCCTTCCCGAAGTCAATGGTGACCAAGGGCGACTAGTTATTCCGCACCCAGCTTCACCACCATTCACCTCTGACAACATATTAAGGCTTTTGGGCCCGAGTCTCTTGATACCCGCGTCATATTCAACTACTTCCACGTTGACACATTGAACATTCTGCGGTTCAAACGCTAATAACCAATGGCCCCCGGGGCTTGCCAAGATATAAACATCCTGGTATGGTTAGCCCACTACTCCTTGAATTCCTCGTGGCCTCAACCTCAAGTGATACTTATGCCCGTGAATGTAGGCTGAAACATTGGGTACGGGCAGGAGGGCGTTCACAACGGAGGCATTCAACTTCATCCGTCACCCGTGAAATTTGCGAAGTTATACACTTCGTCGCTACCTCTTGGGTGGTATAAAAGGTGCGCAGGTCGTTTGTATGTAAAGCAATCAACTGTGACCTCACATCTACAAGCTATAAACCTCATCGTGCTATGATCTCTTCTACTTTCCTTCTGATTGGCTTTTCTCTGCTTTCGTCTACTTCCTATGCGATTTCTCCTCTTCCTGCCAACGAGAAGTGGGACTATCAGATTGGAGAAGCGTACGAACCCGACGCCGACGTGCGCGTCGTCACTCGGGATCGTACTTCGACTCCAGTTTCCGGAAAATACAACATCTGCTACATCAATGCGTTCCAAACGCAACCGGATGCAGACGCCCATAGATTTTGGCTCGATGGTAAGATCGCTCATTGTTCTTCTCAGTCTCCATACTCATTCAACCTCGAACTCCTCAGACCCTAAGAATAATAAACTCATCCTCCGAAACTCCGAGTCCTCCAACTTGCCCTACGAAGATCCGGACTGGCCAGGCGAATTCTATTTCAATACCACTACAGCCGACAACCGCCGGGACTTGGCTGTAATCGTCAACGGCTGGATTGACGAATGTAAACGGAAGGGTTTCAACGCCACCGAGCCCGACAACCTCGACACATTCAACCGGTCGAGCGGCCTCATTTCCAAGGACAACAACCTGGATTACGCCAAACTTCTCGCTGATCATGCACACAGCTCCACGGTTGATCTGGCCTTTGGCCAGAAGAATGCCGGTAGCGAGTTGAGGGGTGATGGAAAGGATAGAGTTGGTTTTGATTTCGCCATTGCGGAGGAATGCCAGGCCCACAACGAGTGTAATACTTACACCGCTGTCTATGGCAACCAGGTCCTCGAGGTCGAGTACGTCGATCCCGAGGCTCCCAACAAAGGACGAGGAAACTTCACGGCAGCCTGCGCCGCTCGTGGAGGTCAAATTTCGGTGATTTACAGGGATCATGAGGTTGTCGCGAAAGGAGACCCAGAATATGTTTACGAAGAGTGTTAATCAATTTATAGGTAATGCTACCAGGAACGTACATGGAGTAATCGGAAGAGATAATTTGCGAAGTGATTAAGCGGGATGCGATGCACTAGCCAAGACCTTTATGAGAAACCCGCAACTGCCAGCGACCAAGAGCTTCTGACTCCCCAGATTTCCGAGTCCAATTCTACCGAGAGCCGCTACAAACTCCCGCATTTCCGCAAGTTCCTAGTCACTGGCGTTGTAACTTTGTTGAAGATTCAAACTAGCGAGTTCATCTCCCATGTATCCCGCCACCCCGAAATTGACGTTCCCGCCTGATTCCCGCCCCTAAGACACCCTCCATATTTACGCGAAGCCGCCCAGCTAAGCTAGGGGTATCTGGAACGGCATCTGTGGCACTACTGGACGTTGGGCAGGTATCATCTCACCGACAACGGGACGCTCTTGCTTGGCTGAACGTATTCATCTGACCCTGGCTCGGAGACAAGGAATGAGTATAAAAGGGACGCCGACGGCTAGGGGCACAGACTCATACATCCCAACCATGAAATCATTTGCCCCTATCTTCGCTCTCATCGCGTTGGTGGCTGCTCAAAGCCCTCGTACGTTTCAAGTTCCGTCTGGAAAGTCCGAACACGCCTGACCTGACCTATCATTGCAGCTCAAATTGCGAAGAACGCGTGTAAGGGCAAATATGAAGGGGGCAAATGTACCTACCAAGTTGAAGGACTCCCAACCGCCCATGGAAGTGAGTTAGAAGCCATCCCTTGGGCGGACTGATGCTTATCGTGAATCAATTTATCTAGCTTGCCAGGTCCAGCCTGTTCCAGGCGGGGAGCTGTGCTGCTTCTCCACGTCGCCCAACTTTTGTTACAGGTAGTTGCAGCGTTGAATTTGGTTCCATCTATGATGTCGGCTACGTATTGTACTACAGCTGAAACTGTTCTGTTCTCGACACGTCGTTACGCATTGTGAATGTCTACTTGGAAGGAAGCTCACACAACGTACAAAAATACGACAAAGTCAGTTTTGACCCCTGGTAAACTTCCTGTTTTCGTAACTTGATTGTCGATGATCGATTGATCCTCCGTGTATCTTCACCCCACCGGGCCGCTCTCGCTCGGCTTGTTACAGTAATTCCTGTAAATAATGAGAATCACGAAAAAATGTTTCAACGTAAAAGCTTATGTGGCCCAAAAAGGAAGTACCCTCTGGCAGGGGCGATGAGCCGCGACCCGGCTTCTGACATTCCCAGTACCTCCACCACCCCTGGCACACTTAAAATTGATACTCTGGAAAAATGTCAGAAGAGCTTGAGATAGAGCAGAGCATATATCATACCCTTCTCTTCGACCTGCACAACATCAACAATCTCGATTTCACTGCTACCATTATCACCAGCTAGCGGGTCGCCCTCTAATTCGTCCTTCTCTTCCTCGTCAAAGAGATCCTCGGGGGCTACAGAAGTCATAGATGTCATGGCCTCATTCATGAGGATGCGCGGCGCGCCAGAGGTGATCGAGGTATGAATATTGAATGGAGGTACAGGGATTTTCACGGGCTCATCGCGCACCCTGTCAGAGGGTACTTCCTTTTTGGGACACATGAATTCGAAGCTTTTTACTTTGAAACATTTTTTCATGATTCTCATTATTTACAGGAATTACTGTAAAATCTGGTCCCAATTCTTGGAACGGCGTTCAAAACCTGTGAAACGAACTCAGCCACCCCAATCATGACGTCCTTCGCCGGGGGCCCCACGTTTCAGGATTATTCCGACCCCTCTCTCGTTAAAGTCTTCGTTTCATCTGCTCTAGCACTCCATCTCGAGCAGTGGTCGCCCCTGAGAAAGCTTCCACAATCTCTTTACGCATTGCCCGCCTAGCTCAATCGGATAGAGCGTCAGACTCTTATGTGCGGGCATCTGAAGGCTGCGAGTTCGACCCTCGCGGTGGGCTATGTGCTTGGATTTCAAGACTTTTTTGTCTTTTGTCTTCATGCAAACCGAATTTTATCACAACTTGAATCACCACTTTTCCGAATCTCACCGGTTCTCCCGTCCCCACTAGATCCCTTGCCAAGGGTTGATACATAGAAACTCATCATTTATTATTCGCAGATATTTCGAGTATTATCCTGTCAACTTCGATCCAGCTCATTCAAGATCCTTCGCTGCGTGGTGTCGGGAGGACACGACTATTTCGGGTTGGCACATCTCAAAGGCACATTGTGGTTGTTATCGATCTGTTTGCAGTCTAAAATCGTGTCATGTTGCAAATGAGTCCTCATTTGTATCTTGGAAGCGAAGGGCACGACTTACATCCATCGAACTCCCTCACGACGTCTCCATCGAGGTAGAGGTAGTGGCATTTATCGCCCTCCTTGTGACCCTTGCACGCCGTTACTGTCGAGGATAATGAGAACGTGAATCATACAGCCACAAGTCCCTGAGAGCCCACTCACTCGGATCACTGATCTGTTCCTGAGCAGTGGCCTGACCGGCGAAGAAGAGGGCGACAGAGAGCACAGCGACAAGAGAAGACTTGTTGAAAAACATTGCTTCGACTGAAGGTTAGTCGAGTAGGACCACGAATCGAGCTCCTTATAACGAAAAAGAGGGACGCCTAAGAATAGCCTTGGTCGGTAAAACCCGTACTGGCCGCCCAGCGGGAGCGGGTCTCGGAAGCTAGTGCTATTAGTATTCAGGATCCCGCGAAAAGCATTCTACTTAGGCGGCGCGGGCAATACTAGGATTATGGAGTGGTGTTTGCATAGGAGTCCGCCCCTACTATACCCCTGCCTTCATATTCATCGGCAAAATTTGAACCTCCGTATGAAACAGCGGGATTTAACGACTGCATTGAATGGAACTACATAGACGATTACATGTGCGGTCCGCCTACTTGTTCGTACCGACACTTTGTTCTTTACCCCTATCCAGAAGTACAGCACTACAGCTTCCTTGGCTCAGTTGGCTAGAGCGCAGGTCTCATACATAAAAGTATGCAACTCTTTGGGAGTCCTGATCCTGAGGTCGCAAGTTCGAGCCTTGCAGGGAGCACTAACGGAATATGTTACAATGTAACTTTTTGCCACCTTTCTGATTCCGCTTTATTCTACGTTGCGGGTATCCAGTGATATACTCGGAATGCATTTGAACCATTCGTGAGGTCTAGTTATTCATCCTGGTAACATATAAAAGAACCTCTCGGTCCGATTGCTTCTTGTAATCCACGGAATCCGAGCTCGGATAGGGGAAGATTGACTCGATTACCAAGTGCGTAATATCCTACTCATTTATCTCACTTCGAATCTCTGGGGCGTAGGTCTGATATAGGCTTTGCTTCGTCACGAAGATCGCAAGGCTGCTCTGGATCTCGCTTCAGTATGGATGGTTCGAAACAAGGATAATTACAGGTATAAAGGTAATATTACAGGGGTTCTCTAATACAGCTACACAAAGTTAAAGAAAGGGGAAAGACCCTACGAGCAGCAATTCGAACCCAGATGTATGGAACCAAGAAGGAACAAAGGATTGATCAAGGCCGCTTGGGAGAGAACATTCGTCGGGGCTGATGACTTCCTTGTAGACAAGGAAGGGAGAATGCAAAATGATAAGTAAACGTAACGAACGCGAGTTGAGAGAAAGGAACTGGAGGCAAGATCAAGTGTGGGGTACTTCCGACTCCCGAATTAGCGCGAGATGCCGCAAAAGCACCCTAAACGTAAGGTAGTATTTGGTTTAGAACGATAGGAGGTGTTCTGGTCGTCCGAGAAGGACGTAGGATAATGGAGGACAGGCGATAAAAGTGGTCGTAGGTGTGGATACTGAATCGGGGACGTTCGGGGTATTGTATGAGTGAGGTATCAAGAAGGGTGAGTATCGGGTTTGGGGGGAGCGACATCGATAGCAATGGGCAGAGCGTCGAAAACAAGAAAACAATAAACAAGAAAGCGATGGGGCAGGCCAAATATGTACAAGAATGTGGGAGATAAGCGGGAGCGGAAGTTGGGAAGTGGTGGCCCGTTCACGGTGTACGAGGGGTGAAGGTGAGCTTGCACTCCATGGCGGCGGGGAAGATCACCTAGAAGCCAGCGTTAGTCATGTGAGATATCCGTTTGGGAGAACCACTCACGAAACTGTCCTTGATCTCCATACTCTGTTCGTTGGTCTCGGCAGGGGCATGAACATCAAAGTTCCTCACGATGGCGGCAATGACAATTCGCATCATCATTTGTGCGACGTTCTGTCCACCACATACACGAGTACCGGTACCAAAAGGCATCATGTACTGGGTCATGCGAACCAGGCGTTCCGAGCAGCCAGGGGCGTCGTTCTCGAGCCATCGTTCGGGCATGAAAGCCTCGGGAGAAGGGAAAATGGCCGGGTTGCGGTGCATAGACCATGCCTGAGTAGCGACAACGGTTCCGGGAGGGACCTCAAAGCCCATCAGATCGAAGGACTCGTTGGCCGCGCCAGACTTGGAAGATGAGGATGGGACGACACGCTCAAGGGGACTGGGAACCGCGGAGTAGACCCGCAAACCTAGGTATCTATTTAAAATTGCAAGTGAAGGAGGCAATAAAGGTTCGCTCACCTTCTTTGATAAATGCGTTAAGGTAGGGCAGTTCTTGTAAGACAGAGATATCGGGGATAACTCTGGAATCGTGCATAGCTTCGTCAAGTTCGGCCTGAAGTTTTTTTGCGATGTCAGGGCGGCGAGTGAGTTCCCAGAGGAAGTAGGATAGCGACGTTGAGGTGGTATCGGAGCCCGCGATCCTATGGAAGAGTTAAGAAGAGTTCACTGATGAGGCAATCCCAGGGCTCACATATGTCCCATGTGTTCGGAGATAATATCGCTATCGGGCATGTTCTCATTTGTCGTAGAGTAGCGGTGGTTCAAAAGCCGATGGAGCATCGGAACCTTCTCAGAAGAGTCCAGCTTGCCTTCGGCATTCATCTGGGCACGGGTTTGATAGACTCGCTCGCTAACGAACTAAGTAAAATGATTATTAGTTCAGTGTTCCATCAACAACTAGAAGAGGCACACCTCAGCCATGATCTTGTCCGAGTCGCACATCTGGCGCCACCTAGCGTTAGGGATGCGGCAAACAAGGTTCCAGGCCCAAGTCGGAACAACGCTTCTCTGTTGAAGTGTGTTAGCCTTAGAATTGTCCACCGAAGGCGACGTCTTACCAAGATACCGCGTTTGGGGAAATCGCTGATAGCAACAGACAGGCGATCTTCAGTCTCTGTCGCCCATTTGCTAACAGCACCGAGACGATAGCCGTACGAAGTAGAGACGATAACTTCGACCATGAGGTTTCTGAATAGGGCGAGACATTCGAGAGGCATTTTCTGGTCCATCTTTTCGAGGTGCTGAAAATCACATCATTCCTCGATTAACCAGTAGTCACGTCGAAGCAAACAGAGAGAACGTACGCTGATCAGCTCTAGCGTTGGCTCGTGCATTTCGGGCTGGAATCGAGCGAGGTTGGTAGGGTTGTAGTGGGGGGCATATCCTTTGCGGCGCATGGAATGGGGTGCATGTTCGAGGGTAGTCATCCTAATACAAGTCAAATCAATCAATGGCAAGCGCATATAGTCATGAGAAAACGTACGCATGGTCGTTTTCGTTGCTATAGGATGGCAGTGGGAATCAGACCGAAAGTTTTGATGTAAAAGAAAGAGTAACTGACGTGAGGAGACTCTTGTAGTAATCGCTTTTGTCGAATTTGTGGATAGAGTAGACGTTGCGCGTGGTCGAGATATCATTGAAGACAACTTTGTTGGGACCGACGCGAACGACGGGTCCATATTTCTCGAATAGCGAGTCGATAACTTTGCATTGTTCGAGCTTGACGACATGGATCGTCAGCCAGAGGTCGGAGACAGCGGCATACCAGGGGCCAGGGATCGCGCTTAAGGGAGACATGAAGAGGTTGTAGATCGCGCGGAGAACGGTGTAGGCAATGATAACGAGGAGAGCGGCGAGAACGACGGGGTAGACGACGGAGAACATGGCGGCGAGAGGTGATACGCTGAAAGGAATGTGAAGGGGTCGCGGGGGGATGGTGGGGGAAGGAAAGAAAGAACCAATGGAGAGGTCTTGAACATGTTTCTGGTTTATATATCCTCAATTCTCAATGTCTCTCTTTGAGCGAGTTGAAGATGGACGCACAGATTTGACCGCCGATGCGAACAAATAAATAATCCGGATCTATTTGCTTCCGATTGCTCACCTTCCAAATTTGGTTATTCGAATTCCTTTTAAATCAGCTCACGACACGTGCGTACCTGTGCGTCCCTGCTTTTCCATCCCATTGCCTACATTGTGAGTATTCCCTCGTTTTCGACCTCGATCTTAGTATCTTCACGGCTCTTCATCGCTCATATCATATCCATCGCCTCGTTTACCTGACAGATCTATCCCAGCAAGATCTCCGAACAACCTACGTTAACAATCTGACTTTGTATATCCGAAGGTAATGGCAGCTAGAATCAGCTCTTCCCGATTGCCGTATTGTCTTGCATTTGAAGAAGGTACGTCTCACGCCGTGTTTGTACGGAATCGCTTCTAAAAGCCCACATTATCCGCAGAAAAATCAACTCGCGCCATCCACTTGACCCGATGAACAGAATTTAGTCTCACGAATGTCGTTGCAGGCTTGCAGCCACGTGAGATATGTATATGAGGCCTCCGAGTCAAAGCCCTTCGGATCTGGTTGGTTGAGCTCTTAATCAGCCGACCGCAGAACATCCGTCAGTGAAGACCGACAATATTTGGCCCACCCCAGGTGCTCATCGTTCCTAAATCCTGTATGACATCCCAGACCCACGCCTCAACTCTTTTCCCAGATTTCCACAAGATCCCCCAACATCTCGGCGGCGGTACAGTGGCTGAAGCGCTCCCCATTGACGGTGGCGATATTCCAGATTCTCTGAATCTAAATCCTG